AATTAAGAAATAAACAAATGAATGAAAAATGTTGAACATGTACAATGAACTATAGTTTTAGAAATCAATTAGGCCAGATAGGCCTTATAAATTTTGGTCTTTTTTTTTTAACATACTGAATGACCATTTACACTCAGGACCGAGTCATCAGTAGGCAGTACAGATGTATTAAAACAACCTAGCATCATATTGCTAGTAGCGAGTGTAGCATTGTCGGGTAAATTTGTTCTTTTTTTTTAAATTTGGTTAATGGACAAAAAATGTTTGGTTCAAATCATAATAAAATGCTTTTATCTCCTTATTACTTACATTGTACATAGAATGGATACTACCCTGACAAATCCTTGTACATGAGAGTTGTCTGTCAAATCTTTATTTCACAAAGAATGAATTGCATAACAATGAACTGAGCTCAAAGCAAAGCACTTTAATAATACACTTAGACAAAGAGCTCAATCCAGTGATATACTTTGTACTACAGGTCCTTCATGAACATCCTATCCACCAAAACCATATCTCACAAACATGCCATACTACATGGTTGGATCAGAAGTCCTGAAAAAGACATGAATTTTATTATCGTATTTTAATTATATAAACACAGATTCAAAATTTATATACTCCAATGGCAATCTTTTCTTCTAAAATGTCATGTGTAGAATGTGATATACCATTTTTAGGTCTATATGGGTACTGTCCTTTATATTTATTAGGTCATTTTGACACAGCAAAATATATAGAAAATGTTAACTTTGATCTGGAAATTGAGTTCTTTTTCACAAAATAAACCCACTAAAACTAAACTTTGAATGCAAAAGACCCCTAAATGGCTAACAGATATTGCTATAAAGAATAGTCCATGATGATTCTTGTTATTAAAGAGTTCATGAAATGCACACCGATTCTGTCAGTTGAATGGACTAGAATGAGATAAGTTATATAAACATAAAGGTTTTTTCAACAGTTGTGGTGTAAATAAATCAGTTTTATTTTATGGTTGACATATTTAAGTATATATGTAGATCATTGGCTTTTCAACACATTGATATTTTACAATATCGATTATCTATTTATTGTTAGATTGTTGGTATTTTTCACCTTCCAAAAACAGTTTTAACGCAACATGAACGCAAGCTTGATAGATCTTGATAGGGTGTCCTCACATATTTTGACGTTGCTGAAAAATTTTGGTTGACATATGTATCCTCTTCTCATCGTTTTTCGTGCTATTAAGAATGCATACTGTTGTCACAATTTCCATTGAAAAGGCATGCATAGTACAAATTCATATGACGTACGAAAACATATGATCTGACCATATACATGTACATGTATGTATAGGTTATCAGCTTTTCTACATATTAGCCAGTAAGCCACAATGAACCTATTATGGCGAGTGAGCGCAGCTAATGAGCTAAAATGAATCAAATTGTGTCCTCAGTGGGGGATATTTTAAGGGATCTATATGAAGAAAACCTGATCATCTGTTTATCGTTCTATTTCTGGCTTTTTCACCTTCCTAACTTGGCCTAAGACAGTTTTTACAGACGAAAGCAAGCTTGATTACTACTCCTCACACACACATGTATAGATTATCGGCTTTTCTACATGAGTCATGAATATCGTAAAATGTTAGCCAGTGAGCAGGCCCGCAATGAACCTTTTTAGCGAGTGAGCCCAGCTAATGAGCTAATATGAATCAAATTGTGTACTCAGTCACAGTTGGTGATATTTTAAGGTATCTACATAAAGAAAACCTGCTTATATAAATCTCAGTGGCGGATCCATAACTTTTCATAAAAGGGTGTGGCCGCTGACTGACCTATGGGTTGCCCACTCCCGTCATGCTTCCCCAGTGGCGGATCCGGGGAGGGTTCCAAGGGTTGGAACCCCCCTTTTTTTGGACGATCAATGCATTTGAATGGGGACACATAGTTGGAACATCCCCCCCCCCCCACCCTTTGTCCTGAGTTGGGAACCCCCCTTTTATAAAATGGCTGGATCCGCCCCTGCTTCCCTATAAAATCAACCAAATTTTCCCCACCCCTGGATCCGTCTATGTAACTGTTTATCGTTCTGCGTAATACTGGCTTTTTCACCTCCATTACTTGGCCCTAGACAGTTGCTTATCTAGCTGTTTATCGTTCTGTCACTGGCTTTTTTTTAGACTAGAGACTTCATGTGTACAAACCTGACGTCAAACTCGTGTACTATAAAATAAGAGACAAATAATTTCACATTAAATCCTGTAACATTACATCTAAAGATAATTATAATCCAAAGTAAATTATATTACGATATCAATGGACTAAATTCCCGCGCAAATGTCATCACTGCGATAGACCAAAACGAATTTTAGGTTTATGTATCATTCACAATTTCCGATCAATTTACTTAGTTAAATAAAATATATGTGTTAACTATTTTTATATTGGTTTTGAATTTAGTTAATCTATCAGAAAAAAGGATTTATTTCTCGCAGACAGCCCTCAATACTATACACCAACTCAACACTGAAGCTAAAAAAAACCTAAAACATAATAGTATATGGAATCGTCCAAACGGATTACCTAATATTGATATAGGTGAAATATGTAGATTCAGAATTGTGTACACAGAAATAAGATCAGAAATAAAGCCCTATGTAAGGTGAAAACAATAACACAACTGTATAAAATCATTGTTTATTAAATTTGCTTGCATAAGAACCATGAAGTTAAAATTTATAACGATTACGTTTATCCTGTCATCCCCTTTTCTTCATTGCATCAAGGCTTCCGTTGCTTTACATCGAGCAACAATTCAACCAATCGGGGAATGTTAAGTTGGGACATACCTCTATTTTTGGAAGCGTGATCTTTACATCGAGGCTTGCGTTGCTTTACACCGAGGCCACAGTAGTTCGACCAATCGGGGAATGTTTATTTGGGGCATGTGACCTATTGAACTGCAGATTTTATAATATTTTAATCGAAATTGTAGAAAAATGAAATGTTGTTAGTACATACAAAACAGAAAATGATGAATACTTTTAGTAAAAGATAATTTGGATCCGGGTTCTGTGTATTCACATCATTTGTACAACTCTCCTTACTGATGCCATTTTTTGGAATTTCTGTGACCTAAATGGTTCGCGAAAATAAATATTTTATTATATAGTATAGTAATTATTCATGTCTGACAAAACAATTCCATGCACTGAATCCAGTGGTGTAATTATTTTTTTTCTAGCTTCGATAAACAATCAATAAAATGAAAAGGCGGGTTACTCATCAATACATTTATACACATTTTACACACACAAAATGTACACAAAATGACAACTTGGCTGAATTTACTTGCATGCAATATTTTGAACATCGAAAAAAGACAGGCATTATGTTTGTTAACCATATTAATATCATTGTGTGAAAAATCTACACGAAAATCTGTATTTTTATTAAAAACCTGGTCTGTTAATGGGTCGGATGTATAAAACCCGGTCTGTTATTTGGTCTGTTAAGAGTTATGAATGGCAATGAAAATATAATTTGATTGCTTTATGGGGAGTTATCGGATCAAATGGGAAGGTTCAAGACGAGTGGCTAAAATATACGGAAACAACACATGAACAATGAAACATAAATTTAGACAATGGAAATTGGAAATTGATAAAAATGGTTTCAAAAAGTGTAATATTAAAGTAATATTAATTTCATTTAAGAATGGTCGCATATATCATGTGAATTCTGTTTCGTTGTTATGAATGACACCAATTTGTCATCTACATTGGTAACCAGTATATACATCTGTTTTTAAATTTTATAGTTCGTTCTTATGTTGTACTGTTATACCACTGTCCCAGGTTAGGGGAGGGTTGGGATCCCGCTAACATGTTTAACCCCGCCACATTATGTATGTATGTGCCTGTCCCAAGTCAGGAGCCTGTAAATCAGTGGTTGTCGTTTCTTTATGTTTTTGTTTTTCGTTCATTTTTTTTTTATATATGTAGGACTCAAATCTATGGTGGGTTCCAAATCTATGGCGGATTCCTAATCTATGGTAAATATGACGTCATGCCATCCCAAATCTATGGCAAAAAATTTACACTCCTAATCTATGGCAAGTTTTTTAAATTTTCTAATTATGACGTCATGCCATCCCAAATCTATGGCAGATTTTTTACAACCCAAATCTATGGCAAATTTTGTAATTTCCAAATCTATGGCGGATTTTTGTTGATTTAAAATCTATGGCAAATGTCGTGCAAATGGAAAACAATGCAGTATATACGACCAATGACTTGTCTAAAACAAATGGAGATAAATGACAACGTAAGAGTGTGTATAAACACTAGTGAAATAAACATGTTATAGCTGACTATGCAGTATGGGCATTGCTCTTTGTTGAAGGCGGAACAGTGACCTATAGTTGTTAATTTCTGTGTTTGGTCTCTTGTGGTGATTTGTCTCATAGCAATCATACATGTCATACCACAACTTCTTTTGTATATTGTATAAATTATAAACCACATCATGACAGTAACCAAATTTATAAATGATCAATTTAAAAAGCTTAATAAAGACTTCATGATCTTGAAATGATGTGTCCCGTAAACATAAGCATTTTCTACTCTGTGCATGGTCATGTTTAACCGACACATTAACCAAATAGTAAGTCATTAAACAACAAGAAAGCAGTTTCTGTTTGTAAAAAAAATAAACACTTTGACTCTTCACATGCTATTTATTTTCTCCTGATCACATCTTTTTAATTTGATGACGATATAAATCAAATTTGTATCCTGTAATTTGATCTGTCACTTTATACACTTTTCCAGCAGTAGACGCTGAAATTGAGTCTATGACCCCTTTCCTGAAATATCCTGTACTGAAAACTGCGGTGCCTTTGTTCATCGCAGGATTCGGTCTGTACATCACATTTTGTCCCTCTTCCGGATAGTAGGTAATGTCTTCCCTCAAACCATCGGAAAACTGCTCTAGTGGAAAAGCTGAAATTGTTTACCGGTGAATTTGTTTATAAAAATCGGTGAGTCCAGTGTTAAATACCGGTAACTGTTTTTGATTTACATTCTACAAAAAAAAATAGTCTATAAGTATAAACAAAAAGTATATGTTGGCTGAGTGAAATCAAATCTAAATTAATAATAGTACATCTAGATAGATATACGAAGATGTGGTATGAGTGCCAATGAGGCAACTCTCCATCCAAGTCACAATTTGTAAAATTAAACTATTATAGGTTACAGTACGGTTTTTCACACCGAACAGCAAGCTATAAAGGGCCCCAAAAATGACTAGTGTAAAACCATCAAACGGGAAAACCAACGCGGTTTACTTATTTTTAGGTTAAAAAAATATATGCAAAGTGTAGCAGTTTTAAAATAAAGTTGATATACTAGTAATAACCGTACAAAGCAAACTAAAATTCAACTTTTACATTTTGCATTTGAATGGTTCAGCATTATTAAAAGTCTTATACATGTACATGTATACGTGCAGTCGCAACACTTTTAAAGATTTCTATCAAATGCATCAAATTTTATGTTATATAGGACAATATTTTAAAAAGTACATCATACAGTTACAAACCTATTCTATACAACAGTATGTAAACAAAATTATTACATATTACGCTTACATAACGAGCAACAAACTACTAAGGCACAAAGTTTAAAATATAGGACATTTAAAGACAAATCCCAACAAAATCACATACCTGTGGATGAACTGGTACATTTTCTTTATTTTGCTCATTATAAAACTTTCTCTGATACATTTGTTTGTAGTATGGACTAACATTTTCCTACAAAAAAATAAACAGAATATTTCGTGTTATTTTGTGCACAATTTATCACTTAATATTTCACTGAACAAATAATACATTAATACACATGTAAAAATATTCGTCTAATCTGTAGGTTATACGGAAACTCATACAACAATAGTTTTTTCTATTTTAAAAAAAAGATATTTATGTATTGGTTAGGAACAAGTACGTACTCTTAAGATCTAATGTGTTGGTTTTCTTTCTTCTTCTTTTTTTGGCGTGTGTTGAAAATTATAAACAAAGTAATGCACAAGGCTTAACATACTTACTTGCAAAATAACAGTTTGTGAAAATGATGGTTCGGGCACTACAAAATCATTTTCCTGGGTACAATCTGGAGGTAAATTGCCATGTTCTTCATTTACGCCATGGTCTGCAAAATAAAAACAAAAACTAATTAATTAATTTACAGTTAAATATAGCTAAGCATATGTTAAATTTGCATTTATTTTTATCACATGTAAAACAAGTAATTGTATTCATTTTTAGAATTAAATTTATAATTTAAATTTGTGTACTTTTATTAGTTTTAAATAATGATTGATTGTTTGTTGGTTGCTTAACGTCCAGTGGCAAATATTTCATGCATGTTCAGGACGATAGCTTTAAGTAAAAAGTTCATGCATATGTGTTTAAATCTTACCATGTAAAGTGAGTTCCTCTTCATTATGATTTGTACTGGCGAATTGGTTTCCACCTGAAGCCTCAGTTAAGGATGAGTGTAGCACATCAACAGATACTTCTGGGAGTTCTTCCTCTGACTCATTTTCATCAACATCTAATTCGGCGTGCTCTAAAAAGTCTCGTTCTTCTTTAGTAAGAGAAGCATAAGGTACCTATAAATACAAAGGTATGTTGAAAAGAAGATGCTCTTTTTATAATAAAAAATAATTTTCAATTTCTTTGGTGTGAAAAAAACCGTTGTTTTGTTGGTTTGTCTTTATTTCCTGACATTCGGCAAGTTATAATTTTTAAATAAATTTATAATGTAAAAATCTATCTCAACTGCAAGTTAAAAAACAAATACTGATATGAATAATAACCCTAATCAAATTTTTCTTAAGACACGTCTCAGGATAGCTTATTTACACAGACTAGACTGCATATTCTTACAACTTAAGTCACTAGACGGCACATTGTCACGGTAAGAGACATAACATTGACACAGCCTACGGCTAAAAATAGTACATTTGCAAACTAAGGCGCTATAGTGCACATGACACATTCTATGGTACTTGAATGCACATTGACACAGCCAACAGCCCTAAACGGCACATTGACAGCCTACGGCCCTAGACGGCACATTGACATAGCCTACGGATCTAGACGGCTAATTGACACAGCATACTGCCGTAGCCAGCTTATTGACACATCCTACGGTCCTAGACGACTTATTGACACAGAATAGCTGTAACATAAAGTAAGAATACTACTATAAATGACCTAATTACTAAGATTTTTTTATAACACAAAGACTCAATTTTTAATTTCCGAAATAATAATTTATATAAAATTAACGAAGTAAAGTAAATACCTGATCATCAAGCGGCACAGCAAAATTTGGTCGACTAAAAAATAGCTGATATGGAGTCTTTGGACGTGTGGCCTTGTTTAGCCTGTTGTTATATGCGTAATAAAATTCAGGAAGTTGATCGGACCAGTCTGAACGTTCTGACATTTTAATTCTAAAATACTCAGTCAGTGTGCGATTAAAACGTTCCACTCTGCCCTGACTTTGTGGGTGGTATGGTCTACCATGCATTTGGACTGTGTCAAATTGTATTACAACTTCTTTAAGATGCGAGTTCCGGAATTCTTTTCCATTGTCTGACTGTAGAATACGTGGAGCTCCATATAGATAAATGTAACTGAGTACAACTTTGCTTATTTCAGTAGCACTTTTAGTTTTACATGCATGCTTGGCCAAATGCAAATCTTGAAAAACAATCAACGATATTACATATGTACTGATATCCTTTATGAGGTGGCATCTTTTTTAGGTCAATTTGCCATCTTGAATTTGGATTAAGTTGCTGGTATTGGGCGTCTTGTTCTTTCTGTTTTTGGTAGAGATATAGCACTTTTACATTGTTCACAGTCCACGTAAAGATCAAATAAAAGCTTCACGTTTTCCCTAACGACTGGGAAAACAAATCTTCGAATAGATTCATAAATGCTGTGAGATTTTCTGTGATCTAATGCATGATTCTTTTTTACTAGATTAATTAAATCCTCCTTTGAAAGACATTTCCTATGAGGAGTAGCTAGGTCAACACTTTTTTTATACAAATGATTCGAAGTCAAATCATAAAAATAATTTTCCAAATATTTTCTAACCATTCTATCGTTCAACTGTTCATTGCAAAACTTGATTATTTTTGCGGATCCCCATTTTGGATTTTCTGCTTTTAATTTGCAAATGGACACTACCTTTGCATAGTCCCTCCAAAACGCTTCTGGATTAGGGTCCTTTGAAACTGGTTTCTTCTTTTCCTTTGCTAATACAAAACCTTTATCTGGAATGGTGTTCATGGGTTCCGCCATCTTCAAATTCGGCGGCGGCGACGACGTCATATGGCGTTATTTGATTGTGACGTTATATGTAACTCTTTTTCCCGGAAAAATAGGCAATTTCAAAATCTGCCATAGATTTGGAGAAAACAAAAACTGCCATAGATTTGAGACGGCATTACGTCATATTTACCATAGATTAGGAATCCGCCATAGATTTGGAACCCGCCATAGATTTGAGTCCTACATATATAAATAAGTCATATCCAGAAATCAACGCCACTTTGCTTATTTGAATATTATACTAAAGAAATCGGATACGGGTCACGGAAATTATATTGAAATGATAGGGAATTTAGAAAAAAATGTCTGTTTTAGCTTTGATTTAAGTGATAGACAGGTTGCCGGGGCAGAAAATAAATATATACAACAATATACACCATTTAAACGAAATATAATGACTGGCGTTGCAAAAATCAAGGTTCCTGAGCTATTTTAAAAATCGAAGCGAGAGGCTTTTAACATTGCAGTATAAAATACAGGCTAAAATGGCTGAAACGTCAAATTTGCAAACTTCGTGTTGAAAATTGGCTAACAAGGTCATTAGAAATACAGGTTGCCGGGGTGAAACTTGAAACTTGAATGTCTAAAGAATAAGCAAGTCCAAACCTTGAATGTGTAGTCGTTGAACTCTAGGTTCCCACGTAAAGTTAAAATGCCTCTATTTCAAGAAGAATAAACTCACGAAAACACGAAAAATTCACTAAATTCGCGTTCATTGTTTTGATTTTGACCGCCTGACAACTTTACGGAAATATCAGAGTGATTATAAACAAGGACTCTGTGACGGGCAACTTATAATAACCGTGTTTTAAAGATTTTAATGATATCAAGCCAGTCCAGTTCAAACTATTATCACGTGGTACAATTCTCATTTACATATTATGAATATTGATTAGCAAAAGTACTACTAATTTCTGGCTATGTCCGTTAGTTTTCTCGTTTGAATTGTTTTACATTGTCATTTCGGGGCCTTTTATAGCTGACTATGCAGTCGGAAAGCAAGCCCTTAGAAACGACCGTTGTTGCTACTTTCTTAAGACAACAATGGGACTGATATTAAAACCCGCCATTCTGAAATTGCGTTAATTTCGCGGAAAAAATAATTTGGCGCCAATTTGGAATTTTTTCTTTTTTCTGTTTCTTACTTGCCATTAGGGTCAGAAATAGATTTCTTTCGATTTTTCAAGCATGGTTCTTATTATCAAAGAAAATAATACTTAAACATGTTATAAATTGTCCGTCTTTTAAAAATAACGTAATGCCTTTGATCGTCGTTTAAGAATTATGCGAAATTGTCTGTTATTTTTTTCTTCTTTTTTTTCCTAGATAAACAAAGAATATACAAACTATATAAAAAATTAATAATAAGTATCTCAAAGTTAAAACAAAAATCAAGTCTAACGTTCTATCACCCCTTAGGAAACCCCGTTCGAACTAAATTCCAAACGAAAGACATTTTTTGACATTGTAGTTTTTTTATCTTACACATCGATGTCAACTTGCATCTTTACACAATGTACACACATTTAGTGTGTTTGTTTGAAAAAGCAATGGCGAGCTGTGAATATTTGACTGGATTAATTATTCTCTATAAGTCAGTGAATTGTTTGACTTAACTAAAACAAGGTAAGGAAATCGTATACTGTCTTTACACAACCTTAACCAAAACTCATTCATCGTTTACAATATTATAAAAAAATTTGTGATGAAGTAATCCTGCAAAAGCCAAAACTGCCAAAGGTAGGGGAAATTCGCCTAATTGCGGACACTTTTTCAAATCCGGAAGTTTGGATACCGTAGAGGCCAAATGCGGACATACTGGTGGTTGCACTTGACAGGAGAAGATAGAGGGGTATCAAATGAACTATTTCCCGCGTTTTCAGGTCTCCTCTCTTGATTGGTAGATTGGAAACACTTAAAACCCGCGGAAATGTCCAGTCGTATAAATGCGGACAGAGGGAGTTAAAATACGGACACTTTATCGTCAAATTGCGGACACTTATTTTCAATCTGTTCTTGCTATTCAAAACGTAGTTAGGGCCTACTATGTATATATATATAGTATTACCTTTCATTAATACCATTTCAGTGCATCTTAGAGCATGCCTGGGAATGGTTTTCGCACATGAACCGGTAATACACGTGGAAAGGTGAGAAAAATGAGATTAAAAAAGTTCATTAAATATCTCATATCACGGCAATTATAAAATGATATAAGAAGCAGAAACGTTTTTGTACTGACAAATTCCATTGTGATATTGTTTTTCAGGATGCATGCACGCACATATATACGTGATATATTTGTGATAATTGTCAATTTCAAATCGCTTGGCATTCGTTACAATTCCCAATCACTTAAAAATCAGGTAGTCCTATAGCATAAAGCGCCTTTGTGTTAGATTTTTATATTTGAAATTTCAGGGAATTATGAAAAAAGACAGTATTATGAACACTGACCCGTGGCACTCCTCAATGAAGGGCCCGGCTGGCCTAAGTCCAATATATTCAAAATGAAAATTAAAATACAATGAAAGAGAGCATCTCCTAATGGTACTAAATGTTGTGTTAAAATTCTTTTACAATTTACCAAAGCAAACTTGAGTTTAGTCCTACGGCATAGAAAGTATAGACGGACGGATTGATAGACAGACAGAGTGATAACTATAGGGCACCCGCCTAAAGACGGCGGGTCATAATAAAAAAGTAGTGCTGGAAATTATGGTCACTTATGATGATACGTTATTGGTGTTCGTTGCATTTCGTCACACATATATATACTTTTCTACATAATACCCGTTATATCTGACCAAAAATGGCATCGGATTTTAACCGGCTGGCGACAGGATACCAATGTATGCAGAATATGCATACCAAGTTCGGTGCCTTAAATAAAATGTCTAAAACACAACAGGTTAACGATAGGTGCATAGTATGATTAACTAGACATCGTTGAGATGGGAGCCATCTCTGTGGGCCCCACTGTGAATAACGTGTGGTAAAAAAATTGTATCTTTACCAAAGGACATGGGGTTGTCATCTGAAACCAAAGTTTTTAACCTTGACCTTTGACCAAGGAAGTTGTACATACATTATCACATACCATCTGATGTTGGTTAATATACATGTCAAGTATAAAGTTTGAAATCATAACGGTTCTTTAGATATAGAGGGGACACGATCTTTACCATAGGACATGGGGTTGTCAACTGAAACCAAAGTTTTTAACCTTGACCTTTGACCTAGGAAGTTGTACAAACATTATGACACATCCTCTGGTGTAGGTTAATATACATGTCAAGTATAAAGTATGAAATCATAGCGGTTCTCCAGATATAGAGCGGACACGATTTGTTACGGACGGACAGGCTGATCACTATATAGGGCGACCCGCCTTCGGCGGGGCCCTAATTACCAATATTCATCTGTCCAAGCAGGGAAGAAAACGTGAGGTATATGTCGTTCACATGAGAAAATTACAGAACCAAATATGGAAGAATGTACTCAAGTGCTGCAGAAGGGAGAGACATATCGTTCATAAAGACATGTACTGCGAGTACAATGGATTGTGGATTGAAAGTTGTAGAGCTACTCCTCATTGCTCATTATTTCAATTTTTTTTCAGATTACTGTGATTGTTGTATCTTTATTTCTAATTTTTTTGGTTTTTGTTTTTCATTTTCAGTTTTTTTGATTTTTTTCACTTGCCGTTTTTAGATCAAAAATATTCAAATGGTGTATTAAGAACATATGTCGTACCTCAGGCTGTTTCTCATACTATGATGTCTTTTCTCTTTCATGTTTTACGTGGAGTTAGACACGGACTTCGGATAAATTATGGGACGATGACTTTAAGATTGTTGTGCAATGGTTTGCCAAAATATGTATATAATTCGTCGTAGAGTTGTCACTGGTTCAGACGTACTTTTATATATATATATATAAATATCGATGCATTATTTGTCTTTGAAAATGTCTGTACCAAGTCAGAGACAATGATATATTATACAGTGCTGTCTTTTATTGTCCATAGAGAAACCCAAAATTGATATGACCAAAAAAGTATCAAACGGTCAACACAGGGATAATTTATTTTGTCCATACAACGCTGATTGATTTCGCTTTTATGTCCATACAAATAATTTAAAATTGTATTAATAGACCTCACTTAATTTTCTGTTTTCACTTTTTTGTCCTTTCTACTTTTACATTTAGTAGCCTTTTTTGACTCCACTTCAGCTTTCTTCATTTCTCTCTCAACTTTTTTAAGTTTATTTTCTGCCTTTTTCTTTTCTCTTTCCTCTTTCTTTTGCTGCATTAAGAGTTTTTCCTTTACTACTTCTTCACTTGTTAGAAGACGGTGTGATTGTTTTGAAACGTTTTTAGACTTTTTTGTTTTAGTCTCTGGGGCGACTTTGTTATTTTCTTGGGCATTTGATTCAAATGGGAGAAACAACGAATGTACTTCGGTGTTCCAACTCTCAGACAATTCCATCGTACCATCATCATCCACGGTACCGACTAAATGTATCTTGTTATCCAAGATAAGTTGAAGTAAAGCTTCGGGGTCATCAATTTCTGGTTGTATGAAATCACCCGCTTCTGACATGGTTGACGCTTGCCCTTTATTTTCAATTGATACCATTTCATCGCCAGATGCCGTTGGAATTGCTGTTGCGCTATACACTTGTGCTGTGGTACTACAGTTGGCGTTGGATTTGTCAGATGATTGGTCAGATGTAGGGGCTTTATCTTTGTTTTCCGATGCTTCACTAGGGAGATAGGCCTCCGACGGTATGGCATGAGTGTTAAAGGGATATATACCACATGCTCTGAATCCACTTTTGATGTTTTCTTTGCTTAGAGCCTCATTCCATGCAGTTTTAAACAAACTTGGGAATGTCCATTTGTCAATTTTGTGGAGCATATTCTCCTGCAAGAACTCCGAGCAGGCTCTATCATATTGTTTATTGAATGGGCCAAATACTGATCGATCCAGTGGTTGTAAATAATGAGTGGTATGTGGTGGCAAAGACAAAATTACTATGTCTTCCTTGATTCCTTCTTGGATCAAAGCCAGTGATTCATGTGACGAGTGTCCGTCGAGGATCAACAGCTGGGGTCGATCCCCTCCACATTGTTTCAGGAAAATGTCCTTAAACCATTTCTCACCGATTCTGTCGTTCATCCAACCACTGTCTTGATAATCCCACATAGTGCCACTCGGGGCCTCTGTGGTATTAAATCCAAATACAGACCTCTCTGTTTTGCCCTGTACAATTAACAGTGGACTCATTTTCTGCCCCTCCGCGTTCACACAAGCTACGATTGTTACGTGCGTACTCATAGCACTAGTGCGACCTGGGACATTTCTAGCACCCTTCTCTGCCAATACTTTAACTGGGTCATGCTCAAATGATTTACCCGTCTCGTCCATGTTCCAAATAACTTTAGGTTTATTTGTAATATCCTTTTCAATCAGAATTTTCTCCAATTCCTGAAAATACTCTTCTACTTTCTGTCTGTTCATCATCCTGCATCTAAGGGAGCCTGTTTTTTCAGGCTTTCTAATAACTAGGTCATTGTGGCGTTCTTTCAAATTCTGCCACCAATCTTTTCCTGGTATAGAGTTTTTGAAAGGCGTTTTGATCTTTAGCCTTTTAACTAATGTCCCAGTTCTCACAAGAAGTTGCCTGCGTGATATACCAACTCCTAACTGTGATGCCCGTTTTACAGATTTAACTATTGAATTTTCCAATTCTAGGGGCAGGGCTGGTTTGCGGCCCCTGCCAACTTGTATATTTCTTTTTCCGGTAACTCTATCCCCAACGGTTGACTTAGGCACGTTGAAATGCTCCGCTGCCTTTCTCACGGACATTTGGCCTGTCTTAACGGTCTCGACAGCATTCTCGAGCGATTTCAGGTTATATTTCAATATATGTGATTTATTTTTTGCTCTTAACATTCTGAAAAAAATATCAGAAGATTTATTAATATTTTGCTCAATGTTATAGGAACCGACTATTTACTATACGGTATGGGTTTTTCTCATTGTTGAAGACTGTACGGTTGCCTATAATTATTTACATCCACTTTATTTTAACTTTGGTGGATAGTTGTCTCATTGGCAATCATACCTCATCTCCTTATTTTTATATAGAAGATAGGTATATACAGATATAGATAGCAATTTACATTGTTTAAAATGACAGCAAGTACGATAGATTTCTTTTCGTCTGTCTTTCTGATAGTCGGTAATAGATTTAATTTCAAGACAAGAGACAAAAATCTGAGATTCATTCACCAATTTATCTTAAATGTGCCTAGATGGATACACATGACATTTAATACCAATGGAGGAAGCTCCATTCCGATTTTCATGTGGAGCATTTCCGATTTTTCGTTTTTTGAAAATGACAGGTGATGCCTTTCATGACGTTGTCAGTTTTCTAGTTAACGTTTGTTTTCCGATTTGCCGGATTTTTTTTTTCATTAGACAGACGGACAGACAGACAGACGACTGGATGTACAATATCATTACTGTTGGACGCTCGCAGAAAATCTAAAGAGATCTTTAAAACCGATGTATGGTTATTTTATTTCTATCATATTTTAAAAAAGTTTTATTAAATCATTTCTTCAAAAGAATATCCGTGATATCAATGAGTTCGTCTGCCTCTTCTGCAGTAAGAATGTCCAACTCTTTACCTCTTTTACTTAATTTTTTAGCAATAAACACAATGCTGCTGAATTCATTTTCCTTATCACTTTCAATAATTTCACATAGTAGTGTTGATACATATACATGTTTTGATAAACATAATAATTTCATAAATAAACAGCAAACAGCATCATTGTCAAATAGCCACTCGTCTACGAGACATTGTTGCAATTTCATTTTGGCGACGGTTTTAGGTACATTTGATTTCATTCCATTTGCTCTTGCAAAAAGTCCTAAACATGTAGACATTCTGTAAAGAGAGAGAAATAGATTGACTTCAAAACCCGGCTTTGAGAAAGATGTTTTTCGGTTTTTGACCTAGTGAAGATGGGTGCAACTGGAGTGAAAATCAGACTGGTAAACGCATTATATTGAATTTCGTAATATGCAAAATGAAAGGAAAACAAATAAACCCAAATCAACACTTTATTGATATAAATGTATAGGATTCGCATTAATACTAGGAGATTCTAAGAGAATTTTGCTTATTTTCCACATCATAGTATTGACATTGCACCACTACACGTGTTCAAAATATCTTGTGTCCGCATTTCGGCTATCATATTATTTTTGGTAGTGTAATTTGTAAATGCGGACACTTACTTTTTCCTATTTTGTAATCAAAATTTAGACAAATCAGTAAAAATAATTAAAAGAAATGTTTCCTTGCATATAATACACAATGCCTATTGCTTTTCAACACATAAATTACCATACTTACATGAATAACTGTGTATAGACTGACACGTTGACTTTAGATCTTTTTCAAAATTCCCGGGTTTCAAACTTGTTGACATAAGCTATTTATAGCATGCACTTTCAATCACATGACATAAAAGTAAATCGAAAGTAATAAACGTGATATCCTTATTGCAACAAAATATAGTGTCAATAGAAAACAAAACACCTTATTTTTTATATCTATTTTATTTCAATTTTTCATAATTTCATTGAAAAGTGAGATATTCGTTTTCCGTCCGCATATCGGCGCTGTCCGCAATTAGGCGAATTTCCCCTAAATGAAAAAGTCTTGTCCTAAATATGAACTTAAAACAATCTCTTTCAGACTAGCATTTTAATCACTCTTATTCAAAGCATGTTCATACTGACTTATGACTTGTGATCTAAAACATAATATTGTTGACTTAGCACTCAGAATCTGCTCTGAAATACTTTTATATAAATATAAAAATGCATAATTGTTAAAAAAAAAAATAAATAGAAGAAGAAAAATATTAGACCCAGTCTTTTTTGTTCTTATCTATTTTCAAGTTCATGATTAGAACCATTTATTTATTGGTTTAGTGGTTTTTTTTTTATAATTTGAGTCCATTCATTAGAATCTGCGTGGAATCAGTGAGACAAAATTTATTGTTATATTTAGTTTGTTCATACAAGAATTGCAAACTAATTTCCTTTTATTTCAAATAATGAAGAATTTACATACAGAATACTTTCATTATGGTCTCGTTTAAGTTTAAATGAAAAAGGTAGGATCAGTTATCAGTAATGAAAAGGAGTTCCTGTATTTGATCATTTTAATCCTGTCTTGATCCATTATTCATGAATACTTTGGCTACCCCTTGTATGATTAAAGTAGAAATTTATTTCTGTGTTGAAATAATTTGGTTACAGCAGTATAAATACTTACCAAAATATAAATATTAAATTAACTCTTGGAATAATAATATTATGGCACATACTGACATAGGGCCTATTTGAGTATTTCACTGAGACTGAGTTCTGAAAAGTGATAAAATGTGTTTCGCTAATTTTTTTGCACATGTCTTTAGTATCAAAATATATTCAATAAAATTATTTTAATAATATCCTCATGTAAATAACAGCATATGGTGCTTAATATAATAATAGTTTGATCATGAGAGTGTCAAACAAAGGGACGTAACTCGTAAATTACTATCGGCCCCGCTTCGTCAGAAATATCGACACATCGAAGTGGCACATTTGCGTATTACAGTGTATTAAGTGGCACAAATTTGACATATCATAGTCAAAGTTATGTTACATAACATAATTTAAATTCAGCATAGCTTCCCGAGAAGTTAAGAAAGAAAATTACGATTTTAATTTCCAGTGACCGATTTTTTTGGTCAACACCTAGACTTTGAAGACACATTTTGAGAGAAAAAAATAGTTTAATCCATAATTGAGTGGATCAATATATTTCTTATATACTCAAGAATGTTCACTTAAAAGCAAATTAGTTTTAATTCATGCAAAAAACTACAAATTCCAAAAAACGGGCTTCACTTTTTTTGGTAAAAAAATGCCCATATATGGTAATCACATGACTTCCATTGTTGCTTTAAGAAATGGGGTCAAACCGGGGTCAGCTTTCCGACTATATGCGGTATGGGCTTTGCTCATTGTTGAAGACCGTACGGTGACCTATATTTGTTAATTTCTGTGTCATTTTGGTCTCTTGTGGAGAGTTGTCTCATTGGCAATCATACCACATCTGCTTTTTTATATCAGAGATAAACGTCGTAATGTAACTAAACATCAGTAAGTAAAATATATTGGGATGCTAAAATATAAAGAATAGAGAAAGAATATTGAGAAAAATAAATAAAATGTAGAGAAAAGTGACATAACAAGTTAAAGAATACAGAAATAAACAACACCCCTAATCCGGACCCTCATGGTATACAAGAGAATCTGGATGGAGACGCAGAATATAGAAGAAAAGATAAGGACAGTAGAGAGTGATGCATTGCTAAAAAAGAGAGAAAAATAACAATTGTTTAAGAATACAGACATGAAACACCCCTTTTTACTATTTAGACCCTCCAAAATGATTGTTAAAGCAATTTTGGCATTTATTCCACATCTCCTTATTTTTAAATTAATAGTATAGACAACGATATCTATATAGATGCTTTGCAATTTTTTTTTACTGTATATCACTTTATTTTATTTGAGACTGGAGTCTGATAAACATTGGCCTCCTGTCAACCGCTGAATCTGATAGCTCAGTAAATATTGTAAAGTGCAAACAAAATTTCAGGGGGAGGGAGTGGTTGAAACAGTAACGGATTTCGATGTACTCAAATTGGTGACAAATGCTAGAATTTTACAAGCGCACAACTGCAGTTCTCCTCTGCACTTATGTAGAAAGGAACTAAACGGAATAAAATGAATTAAAACTTAAGATAATCAAATGTAGCTGCATTCGCTTCTTTCCATTTACTTCTTTAGAATGTTTTGTAAACAACATATGAATAAGTAATAGAACAAAAGAACCAATTGGATGATGCTGACGAATTAGGGTTTCACGTCCAGTGGCAAATATCATGTCCATATGAGAACGACAACACGTTATATGTACCCGGTGTTGTATAAGACAGACACTTTCAGTCGGATTTTTGAACGTGCTTCTTTGAACAGACACAAAAATCAAGGCTGATTGAAAACGTTGATAATAAATTCATGCATATTCCAGCGGCCAATCCATATCACGCTATATTGCAGTGACACACCTTTCAATAAAATGCAAAGAAAGTCAAAATAAAAATGCTTTTACTACAAGGATACTGTTGCACCGTATTGTCATTTTTTTTTACTCAAATACATCTCATTCTTAACTTTTTTAATGGGAAATTATAAAGGTAGCAAAACTATTGTCGTGGCTAAATAACTCTTAACTGACACAATTTTAATTGTCCAACCCATTAACAGACTTTATTCCCCTAATAGTCACTAAAACGTGGTATTACTCACGTTATATTACAATTATGAAATATTTACTAATGTCAATTTGTTTTTTAGAACCAAAGTACTATTTTGTGTCCTTTAAATGATATCTAAAATTGTTTGTTTCGCCTTTTATTAAAACAATTGCTATGCGTATAAGCATAAATACCACATACTTGCGCGACGCCTTTTAGTTTTACTGAAGTTTGCGCAAACTATGAAATGTTTTTACAGGTGGAAAATGTTCTATGATAGATATCATTTTGTCAGACACTTTTCTTTTTTTTATTTGGTTCTTATAATATGCCAAAAATCTGTATATTTAACAGAGTTGAACATTTAAATTGTGCGTTTTACTCTTAACAGACGTATAACCGACCCGATTAACAGACCAACCGCCCATATAGCCGCATACTCAATATAGATTAACCGACCAATCTCTCGGTTAGCCGAGTGTCGGCCGTGAATCAGGCACAGCTCTTTTGTTTTAAGTTCAAATAATTACATTAGATGTATGTTTCATTATTATACGTTATTTTGATTGGCTAACAGCAATCTCGCGTCATTCCTCATTTCAAAATGAATTGCAGGAATTGAAACATACATGATGACACACGTTTCCACAATAAAGAGCACAGGTAAATAAAAGAAAAACTTGATAGTAATCGTGGTTTCATGATCATTGCAAAAAAATGTAATTATAAGTATTGAATGCTTCTTTTAGTAATTTCATAGGGTTGTAAAAGCGTTGACCGTGCGTACATTTTTAGAATGAAGCGCTTCCGCGTTTAATTCATACAAAATGTACTTCAGTCAACGCTTTTACATCCCAATGAATTTACAAAAAGAAGCATTCAATTCTTAAATAAAGTGACAATCATTGCATGTCAAAGCAACACTTTATTGTGTCTTGTACTGAAAAAATCAACATACCTTTAATGGCATATAAGAAAGAACTGGTTCCCGGAACTTCGGATGTACCAA